AGCAATTGAATCCAACATTCTTTTTTTTTTTCCACTACAGCCAATAGGTTAACACTAAATTCGGGTTCGACAAATTACGATCTAATCGAAAACCCTTCAATACAATGAAGAAATACACAAACAACACAGAGTATATATTCAACCTGTATTCTACTACAGGTGTATTTATTGCTAAAGAAAAAACCCTAATTATACTTTACACAAACAAAAGCCTCCTACGAACGCAAAGATTCAAACTTTACTAAAAACCCATCAAATTCCACAGCTCAATTCGAAGAATTAAGACGCTAAATCAACAAATTGAGCAACACAAAACACCCCACCCCCGAAATCCAAAAACCTACAAGCGGAAAAAAATTGAAATAAACAGAAATTATTTATATATACAGAAAACCCCCAAACGATTACAGATACAGAAAATATACACACGTCGCGTATGTGCTTTGTATATTTATTTACAGAGAGAAAAAAAAAAAAGAAGGATTGTATGAAGAGTAAACTCAAACCTCGGTGGGGTGGAGAGAGAGAGAATTTTGATGATTGAAAAAAAGAAAACTGTGTTGCAGAGAGAGAGTAGAGAGAGAGAGATGAGATTTTTATTATTGTTAGCTGAATCAAAGTCGTGGCGTTATTTTTTTCCCCATTTGTGGTGTGTGGTTTATAAGCATTCGCGGTGGCAAATTCCCCTTTTGGGGAAAGGCTTTTTCGAAGGGGGAAGTGGGGGCCCGTTTTGCCGGCCCGGACCGGCCCGACCCGGTTGGTTTATGTTTGACCCGAATGCTAAACTGTTTGTACATGGATAAGTCAGACGCAAATTGGAACATAACTTGTGACTCACGTGGATAATTATAGTTTGTTTTTTTTTTTTTTTTTGGAGAAGATAATTATAGTTTTGACTCCTATATTATAAACATTTTTTTAATTTTGACCCTTAATTTTTTTCTGTTGCAAAATTGGTCCTCAAATAACTAGTTCTCTTACAATTTTTGTCCACCGTCTGATTTCATGCACTTCTACCCCCTTGTCTTACCTCTATTTTTAATATAACCCCAATTTAACTTTATTATTTTTATTTTTTCTTACATTTGGTCGTTCATGCCATATAAAACCTTACGCATAGCCCTTTATGACGCAAAAAAAAAAAAGAGTTTTAAAAATATATATAAAAGAAAATTACAATTCTCTTACAAATATTACAGTTAGATCCCTAAGGATATTCTGGTTATTAAAAATGGATACTCTATAAAATCTATCTGATTCTATTATTATTAACTCGGTGATGGTAAATTCGTTAGAGCAATGATACTTCAAGGGGGTGCTTGTAATTATGTAAATATTGAGGGGTATTTCGTAATTAAACATTGGAGGTTTTAGTATTTGACACCCCTGCGCAATGTCTAATGGCTAAAAAAGCCTCGTGTTAAAACAATTAGCACATACCCCATGTATTACTTAGTCAACGACATTAAGGCCCCTACGTGCTGGTGGTGTGATACACTCACCAAATATGCGACTGGGGTTCAATTTTTTAACGTGAAAAGACCCAAATATCCTTTACATTATAAATTTAAAAAAAAAGCCCTAAATAAAGTTTTCAATTTTTTCAATTCAGTCCCTTGAAGTTTTAGAAAAAAAACTTGCTTCTTCCTCAAGTCAGGGACTGATTTACAAGTTTCGAAAAATACACGGAAAATAGCCGACTGCCGCCCTCCTTCCGGCGATCACTCTCCTCGGCCTCATCTCCCACATATCCCTCAGCCTCCTCTTCATCCCGCCACTTCAACATTTTCTCGGACGAAATTTGGCTCCGGTTTGGAGCTAAGATTCAAGCTTTATTCTTCTGCAAACCCCCCTCCCCTTATAAATTCGGCCGTTGGTCGTGAAGATGTGATTCCCGAAGGTGATGTTGTGAGTTTGGTGGGGATGGTGATTCCAATGGGGAAGACGCAATTTCTCTCTTTTCCTTCTTTTTTCTTTTTTTTTTCATTAAAAAATATGTGTATTTTCTTTATTTAAGAAATTTAAAAAATTACAATTTGATCCAAAGTTTTGGATTAATTATATTTAAATCCAATTCGATTTGACATTTGGGAAAATTCCAATCCAGTCCTCTAATTTAAGTTTCAAAAGTTTAGTAAAATTGCAATTTAGCCTCTATTGTATATTAATTCTAATTTTATGTTATTAATTGAATGGTAGTATAGTAACTCCTTTTAGTCAACATATTTATTTCCACTAGGATGCAGCGAACTAAATACAATGCAAAATAGAGGGTTAATTGCTAATTGTTTTAACATTGGGGCTTTTTTAACCATTGAAGTTTACAAGGGGGGTATGAGCAAATAACTCTTAAACATTCATAATTTATCTCAAGCCCACATTATAAATTAACCTACAATCTTCAAATACAAACAGCGAGTTCGTGTCACGCGCGCCCAAACCTTCTTCTTCGTTCACTGCGACGGCTACAGTGGGGCTGCGGCGACGGCGTCGTTTGGCTACGACCGTTGAACGGTTATCGAACAGAACAGAAATTAGTGTGAGAATTAACAAGTAAGTAATGCATAATACCTGATTTTGTTTCTTAATCTTTAATTTAGAGAATTTGTTCGAAATTCATTTGTGATAATTATATCAGACTATCTGCTGTTGAATTCTAGCTATGGTATTGTGGCATTATCAAATTAGCTATCAGAGTAATACTTTTCTAGTTATAAACTGACCGAATCCCCATCCTTAAAGGTGTTTGTTGAAATTCCTGAGAGAGAATTATTGTGTAATTATCAGGAGTTTTAACTTTCTAGTTATAAACTGACCGAATCCCCATCTTTACAAACAAGTGTGTGCAACAATGTCAAAGGTGTTTGTTGAAATTCCTGACGGAGAATTTATTGTGTGATTATCAGGAGTTTTTTAACAGTATGGGTGGAAGAGGAGGGAAGAAGAAGGGGCATAACGAAATGCCGGGATCTCAGCCGCACGTTTCCACGACACTGAGAGAGGAATCTATTGGCAAGAAACAGGGCAGTGTCAATGCCAAAACTATGTGCAAGCTAGACCATCTGAAAAGCCTTGCCGCATGGTCCGCCACGGAAGCATCTATTCCTTCACTAAGTGCTTTTTTTGGGGAGCGTTTGGCTGCCACGAACGAGGCCTTGGGCCTTCGCGCTGACCCGTCTTCGTTTCTTTGCGAAAGGTTTTTTTTCATCTTTTTTACTTTTTATATCCATTATTATTTGGAGTTGTTGATTGAATTCTGAGAAGTGAATGAATGTAAGATAGAAGTTCCTACACTAATCTAGGGGATTTAGGTTTTCTAAACGTTTAGCAGAAACATAGCCTAGCAACTTTTGAAAATAAATTTAGCTTGTTATAAATCTCACTACGTCGTTTTAGCTATTTATTTATTTGTGGTTTTGGTGAATAATTGAAACTAATTTTTTTTCATGTAATAGTTTCTTCAATAGTTCGGTTTGTGTTTATACTTATGTCCTTCACCTTTTGCACATAGTTCTTCTCGGGGAGCTTCTCTTGTAATGATTTTCGAGATTTTATTTGTGCGTATAGAAAGATTACCTTAAACCATCCTCTCTGCTTGAGCCTTCTCCAAATTAAATTCCATGGAGTTGTACTTCAATGTTTAGGATGACAGTTCTTTATCTATGAATCATTTCATATAACAGTTGATGACAATTTATTACTTCAATATCAAAGTTTTGTAACGTTGTCAATTCAACTTGTTTGGCCTAGTTCATTTGTTATTAAAATTAGTCTGGTCGACTCTCGAATTTTAAGGTATCTATGATACATTTGGGATAATCGCGATAAGAGTCGAGATGCAATCTTGTTTGAGTCGAGCAATATTTTTTATGTGATTACTGATTTAATTTATGTGACCATCCACATACACGATATTAATATACATTGAGCAGAAAAAAATTCCTTTCAGTCCCTGATGAAATTTTGTTGTTCTACAGATGTGAATCTATCCTACAACCCGGTCATAATTGTACGGTCCGAATCGAGAAGAGAAAGTCCAAAAAGCGCAAGAAATCCAATCCCACCACACAGAATCACGTCGTGTACACCTGTCACTTCTGCTCTCACCGGAACTTGATGAGAGGAACACCAAAGGGCTACATTAAAGCCATACGCCCACCCAAGGCTAAGCCACCGTTAAAATCCAAATCTTCTTTACAGAAGCGCCGTAGCTTGTCGGAACCTTCTAGAAGCATTCCGGAAGTTAACACGGCGGATGCCTCTGCTTTTCCGACAATGGACGTACATAATAATCTCGAAACTAGCTTTCCGGCGACTCCATTGCCGGTAACTCGTCTTACTTTACTGGATTCGAAGAGGAAAAGGAAAAGATCGGGTGCGAAGAAAGTAGCCGAGCCTGAAATTAATTCGACTGCAGAAAACAGCGTCCCTGCATCGAGTAAGAAGAGGAAAAAATCATGGACAACTCTGAAAGAGATAGCTCAAAGTAGTAGTAAGCATGATAATGGCAACAAGTTGTCAAGCTTAACAATCCCATTCTTTATTAGTAGTGATGATCTCAATAATTATTGTTAAAAATTAATTGCTGAATGTATTTTAGCTATTTATAATCTTTTTCTTCTAAACCGTTTTATCGTTTCGGTCCAACCGTACTATCTAGATTATACCGAATCGATTTCCGGGCATAGCTTAATGGTAAAGGACAGGGAGTGATTTTAACCGTGCTCGACTTGCAGGGGTTCGATTCTTACTTTTGTGGAGAATGTGTAGAGACTTGCCTTTTTTTTTTTTCTCGCAAATTATGGCCACCCCGTGAGGTATGGCCAAATTACGAAAAATCTCTCTTGTTTGTGTAATTATGGTCATCCCCTCTTTTTAAATAGTTTTACATAAAATTTATGTAATTCGGTTATTTACCGAAATCAATCGTGTATTCAGTTCGATAAATAGTATGAAATGTTGGCGTACCGAAATTTCGGTTCGGTTTTACCGATTTTACATCCTTAATTTGACCTCTGGAGGGATATTTTTGTAAGTAATACATAGTTGAGGAGGTGGTCGTAAATCGTAATTACCCAAATAGGAGGGGTGGTTTAATTTAACCATAACTCAGTGATGGCTGTAATTTGCCCTATATAATAATTAATTTCATTACTCACATTTTTATATAGTAATTATAGTTGTGATGTCTATTATTTTATCCACATTTAGGATCGAGCAAGTGCATAATGGATTGCACAATGAAGAAGACTTGATGATTCCAATAGTTGGTGGTGGTAACAAGGTCCGAAATGGAACGAATCAGATTGAAGTAACATTTTTGGAAGAATTGTTAATTTTATTGGAAGATAACAAATTGCAAAATCGGAAATTAGAATAAATTAAATTCTTCCAATTTTTCATCTTCAAATAAAATTAAAACAATAATATCGCGTGTTCATAAAAAAATAGTTATTTTAAATTTAAAACTTGGGTAAATTACGGTCACATTTCTGAGGTAAAATCAAATTACGAAAAAAATCTTTATTGTAAGTGCAGCCATCCCCTCTAACTATTTATTTTCTCACACGTTCATGCTTACGTTGTCAATGATCGGTAAAACAACCAAATCGAACGAAAATTTGGTACATGCCGATTACTGAACCGGTAATCTGGTTCGACATTCAGTGACACACACAAACGCACACACATATAAAATATTAGTATTTAAACTAAAATTAATTAAAAATAAATAAAAAGGAAATCGAAATTTTAAATACTTTCAATAAAATTTTGGAAATTAGGTTATTTTTCAAACCAAATGTTAAACAATATGAAATTTTGGCGTACCCCGCAATTTCTGCACAATTTTACCGAATTAATGCCCCTAATTTAATAGGAGGGATTTTTTCGTAGCATAATACACAGTTGATGTGAGTGCTTGTAATTATACAAACATGAGGGTTCTTTTCGTAATTTGACCTTACCTCAGGGGTGGTCATAATTTGTCCAATTATTTATTAATAATTAAAATTTATGGAAGTTTAAAAATAAGGGGTCATTAGCAATAAACCCCTCATATAGTTAATAAATGGTGATATGTCCATCCCTTAAATCTTTCTTTGTGATAAACCCCTAGAAATTGTATTCTCAATTCTACCCTTATATCAATTAGCATAATTTCACCCAATTATTCATTTTTTCTCTCTTTCCATAATAATAATTTAATTCCTAAAAATATGTTTCCAAATTCCTAAAAATTGCTATCAAATAAAAAAAAATGATTTTTTTTTTTTATTATTTATTATTTTCGGATTTTATTTAGTCATTTTTTATTTATTTTTTATTTTTTTTAATTTTTTTTTATATTTTTTTAATAATTTTTTTTTTGACAGTATACAACGCCGAATATGACTATAGTTGAATATGACTATATCAATTGTAGTCATATTATTTCTTAATATTGCACTTTTTTTACATTTTTAGCTTCAAAATTCCGATTATATAGTGTTGTACAGTCATGTTTACCAAATTATATAAAACAACTAAGATTCCCTATTGTTTAGGGAAACAATACAATCAACATCCACACAAAAAATCACAAAAGAATCACAATTTGAATCTTGTTATTTCAAGTCAATTTGAAACGAGAAGATAGAACATATTCGAATATGACTACAATCATATTCAACAATAGTCGTATTCAAAAATGACTACAGTCATATTCGAAAAAAATACATAAATATGACTATAGTCATATTTGAATATGACTATAGTCATGTTGCTGCTACTGTACAGATCTGAAATTATATTTTCAGATCTGAGGAAAAAAAAGAGAGAGAGAGAAATCGAAAGTACATAAAAAAGGGAGAAAATTAACGAACAAGATGGAGGGGGAGTACGCTTCAATTCATCTAACTAAATACATAAATATGACTATAGTCATATTTGAATATGACTATAGTCATGTTGCTGCTACTGTACAAATCTGAAATTATATTTTCAGATCTGGAGGAAAAAAAAAAAAGAGAGAGAGAGAGAGAAATCGAAAGTACATAAATAAATGGAGAAAATTAACGAACAAGATGGAGGGGGAGTACGCTTCAATTCATCTAACTAAATACATAAATTTGAATCTTGTTATTTCCAGATCTGTAGAAAAAAAAAAAAAAAAAAAGAGAGAGAGGGGGAGAGAGAGAAATCGAAAAATACATAAATAAAGGTAGAAAATTAACGAAAGAGAGTGAGGGGGAGTCGACGACAACGGCGATGGCGGTGGTGGCGGCGTGGCGTGAGAGAGGCGGCGGTGGCGGCGGCGCCGACGATGAGCGGCGGCGCCGACGATGAGCGGCGGTGGATGAAGCTTGAAATTTTAGGAGTGTTTTGAGGGTTTAGGTGGAGAAGTGGAGAAGAAGATGAAAGTGGTAGGTGAGCAAATACCTAGTCTAGGGGGTCTCACTAATTAAGAATGGAATTTGAGTGTAGGGAAAAGTCTTTCGAAATCAATTGAGTTTAGTTCAAAATATTTTCCATTTGAGGGGTGTATTGATAATATCCAATTTATTTATTTATTTTCTCTTTTATTCAAAAGAAAGGGTAAATAGCACTTGCCTCCTGTAGGTTGAAATTCGTTCACCCGACCTCCTTATACTTGCGATATAGCACATAACACCCCTGAACTTTGTGCATATATGTTATTCACCCACCAACTTTTATCCACAACCACCAACTTTTTACTTGCCAACAATTTACAGATGCAGAGCTGAATTTCACCCATTTACCATTTCCATCTCCCACTCTTCACCCCCATCTCCATAAACCCCATTTGGCGCGTCATTTCATCCAAACCAAAATTCAGGGGCACACACACTTTCACGCGCCGCGCAATTTCTCCTCTCTGTGCGCATATTTACGCGCAGTTGGCCGTGATTTTCCGATAAAAAAATGGGTAACCGTCGCTTCGCTCAGGCGCCTACCAGCGACGAGGAAGATAACTCGCCGCCGCCGCGAAATTCGAACGTCGACGAAGGTGAGAAGAAACGGAAGCGTATAAGGGCACACATTCCAGACGAGGAGGATGAGGAGAAGGATATGGATGAAGTGAAGCTGAGTGAGCTGAAAAAGGGGAAGAAGAAGAGCGTGGAGCTCGAGCCTGAGGCCGCGAGTGAGAACGAGGAGGAGGAGGAGGAGGATCGGGACGCGCAGCCTCTTGGTGACGTGGTTAGGGTTTCCGGGAAAGGGAGGTGGAGGAGGAAGCACTTCGCCTCCTTCGAGTATGACGGTCTTCAGTACGATCTTGTGAGTTTCTTCTTCTTCTGTTCTCTCTCTCTCTCTCTCTCTCTCTCTCTCTCTCTCTCTCTCTCTCTCTCTCTCTCTCTCTCTAATTTAAATTCCTTTGGATTTTTTGTTGTTGTGATGATTTTGAACTAACCGCTGCCTAATTTAGGGTTTTTGTTTGCCAAGAAATTGATGTACGATTGGGATTGAACTGTGCATCTGTTTATTTTTCTTGTAGTATCCGTTTTTATGTTTTGGTTTTTGGGAGATTTAAGACTGAATTTTAGCTTATTTTATTTTATTTTTACCGTGGATTTTCTTTTGATGCTTTATAGAAAATTGAAGAAGATATATGGTAATTTTGTGTTGTTATTGAGTACTGTTTTTCCCTAATTCTTCAAGCATAATGGAAATGTAACAGATTGAGTTTGAATTTGGGGTATTTAAGGTCTTGTCTCTGTTTTCGTTTCACTCTTCCATTTCAATGTAAGCCCTTAACCGATTTTTGATAACTCATCTCATCTCTGCCTACTCTTCCCTCTAGTGGTAGTTTTTGTCCTAAAAAAATGTCTTCGTCTTGCTGTTCCTCATATTTGGATGTCGAGGAGAATATGTTTCTTTGATATAATATTTTGGAAAGTTATGTCATATGCGGAATTCACGCTGAGTAAACGGTGCTGTAGAGAAGTACCATTAGGTGTCCAATTCCTTAGAACACTGTTTTTTCCTCTCTTCCTTTTTTTTTTAAAACTTATGGTATACCACTACGATTACGTCGAGCATGCAGATCTATAATCTCATCCCACTCTTGTAAATGATTGGACTGTTCGGGATAGTAGTATTTGATGGATGAAGTTTCTGCACCTTTTGTTAAATGTCAGAACTGGAAGTCCCCTCTATCTATATGATCGTTTTAATTCAAATGTTATGTTCTTTTGCTGAGTTGGCTCAGACATCATGCTTTTATGATTTATTTATTAGGAGGATCCGGTGCTTTTGGTTCCTGAGCAGAAAGATCAGAAGCCTTATGTTGCCATTATCAAGGTACTCTCTCTCTCTCTCTCTCTCTCTCACACACACACACACACACACACAACACAAACTCACTTACCCACACACTTACTTTGGTTCTTCCAAAAAACAAGGTTATGAAATGTTACACACTTTTTATTTGCTGGAATATGTCACTTTGAGAACTTGAATCTGGTGTTGGTTGGGTCCTTGGTTGGTAGATAATTTTTTATTTATCGTGTCGATATATGGGAATCAATATTTTCTTGTTATTAGACTTCCGGGTAAAATGGAATCTGAATTCAGGGGTTGAGGTTTTCATATTGTGCACTTAGTAAGTTTGATGTCCGTAACTTCGGTTGCAATGATACCGTTCGAAATTTTAGAGTGTCATTATCTGTTCCCAGAAGTAAGTGTCGTGATCGGTGGAACTTTGAAGTATAGTTTCGAATCACCTTAATTTGGTGCCTTTTGATTTATTGATTTTTATCCGTATATTGCTTAATGGTATTCCCTTCCTAAAGAGAATTCAGTGTATATCATATGGTAACCTTTTAATGCTTATTTTGTGTACAGGATATTTCTCAAACTCGGGAAGGAGCAATGAAGGTTACGGGACAGTGGTTCTACCGGCCGGAGGAGGCAAAAAAGAAAGGAGGTGGGAATTGGGTGACAACTCATACGAGGGAACTGTTCTATAGTTTCCACAGAGACGAAGTACCTGCAGAATCCGTCATGCACAAGTGCGTGGTGCACTTCGTACCTGTAAACAAGCAGTTTCCGCACCGCAAACTACACCCCGGTTTCATCGTGCAAAAAGTGTACGACACCGTACTGAAGAGGCTCTTCAAGTTGACCGACAAAGACTACGAGGACAACAACCAACACGAAATCGATATTCTCGTTCAGAAGACTCTATCGCGAATTCCCGACCTACCTGACCTTGAGCCAGAGGATGCTGCAATGGAGCATGAAGATCTGTTAAAGAACAAGCGAGTTTTAAGAAACAAGAATATTCCAAATCTGGATGTTTCCAAAGAGGATGGACTTACGAGATCCCAGTCGTTTAAAGCAGAAACTCCTGGATTTACTAGCTTTCTACCAGAGTTTAATGCTATTCTTTCTAAGTCCAAGGTGTTGACCGGGGAAACACAGCGTGACAAGTGGTTGGAAAAACTTCTTGAATCGGTTAAGTTTATTTGCACTACTACGGTCTCATCAAAGCGTAGTACTGAGGAAGAACAAAGTGGGAACAAAAATGGTAGCCCAGATCAGAGAAATGGATCTCCTGATAAGGTTTGGAATAGACACACACACACACACACACACACACATATTTATATATATTTATTTCTTTGAAAAAATATGGACATTTGCTTGGATACTTGCTATGTTATAAGTTTGATTAATCTTTTATGTATGTTTTACAGGATGATGCATCGTTTGAGTGGCCAGATGCCGCTGTTCGGGCAGTGGTTGCTCTTGAGAAAGCTGCACATGATACACTTTCTGCAGATTTCCTGAAGTATAACCAGAAAATGCGGAAATTATCCTTCAATCTTAAGGTAGCTAAGTAGTTCTTTTCTTTCTTTCTTTCTTTGTTTTTTTTTTTTTTTTTTTTTTTTGTGTCTAACTCAATTGGCGGATATCTCATACGACAAGGTTGTTTTAGTAATTTGTTGATGTCTTGGGTTTCTATATGTAAATCGTCGACACTTGATTTGAAATGATTGAGATATGTCCTTGGCTACATCTGCCGCTTCAGTTATTTTTTCTCCGTGCGAGTCTTCTTACTTTTTCCTTTGAATTTGAATGGCAGAGTAATGCTGTATTAACACGGCGTCTTCTGAATAAGGAGTTGGAACCTGCTCAGATACTTAATATGTCGCCTAATGAATTAAAGGTGCTCGATTTCGCTCTGTTTCATTTTATGTTCTTCAACTTTTTTTTTTCGGTATTACAATTCGGTATGTAAGTCAGAAGTAAACTTCAATCAATTCTTCTACACATTTTTGGTAGTCTGCGGTATATTAACTGAACTTTATAGATTTTGCTGCCATGTTTAATAACTAATATATAAATTTGCGTCGAGTCGATATCTGATTTCATTGGAAATATATTACTCACAACTTTGCTTTTCCCCTCAGGAGGGTTTAACAGCAGAGGAAATAGCAATCCGGGAGCCGGAGGAGTCAGCTCACATGCAGGTTACTCAACGTGTCTTTATCTCATGATTTCGTGCAAAGAAACCCGATTTTTTTTTTTATTACAATACGCAAATAAAATATTCTAGCTGGCTCTATATTGTCAGATTTTCCAATGTTTTATTTCGAGTTTGGAAGTCCTTTTTGTTTCTTTAAACGGGTTTTTGTTCGCTCGGAACAGATGACCGATGCTCGGTGTGAAAGATGCATGGAGAAACAAGTGGGCCTGATAGATATTATCCAGGCTGGACACGCTGACCGCTACCAGGTTCTTAAGCTGAGTTAATTAATTATTTTTTTATTCATCGTTTTTGCCATTTTAGTTTTTTTTTTTTCGTAACCTTTATATTTTGTGCTGTATTCTCAGTTTGAATGTATTGCTTGTGGTAATGTCTGGTATGCTTCGAGAGATGATATTTCCTCATTGACCATCGAGGGCCCCACTTCCGTGAAGACTGTCGGAACTGCGCCTTTGGCTACTGCCAAGTTCGAAGACGTTGAAAAAACGCTGTTGAGCCCGCGTGGCGGTGCAGCCGAAAATGCCATCATGAAAACTACTGAAGCATTTGTGCCGGTATTGGAGAATCAAAGATCTTTCACCAAAACTCGAGCGGAGGAAAGTCCCACTACTTCCAAGACTAAGTAATACATATATATACATATAGGGATGTATCTATATAGTGACACACTCTCTAGTTGCTGGTATTTTCGTTTATGTCGTTTCTGTAAATGTGGCTAATATATATACGCGGTACGGTGCCGGTATATCTAATTGAATGTTTATAGCCTAGGTGTGACGAAGGCACAGGGGAAGACAGTTTTATTAGGTGTTGGCCGATTGTTTAACCGAGGATGAAGTTTCCTTTTCTCGTTTAGTGTTGTAGCTCTCGGTTTAACTTCGGTCATTCGGCTATTATTATTAATTCTCAGTTTATTTGGCAGTACATATAGCATTCAACCTCGACAGGCTCCACGGTTCCGACCCGTTTTTGCTGATGGGTCCAACCAACCGTTCACATCTGTCACTTAATCGTGATCGTTGATCTACACCACCGATCATGAGATTGTGTTCGTTTTTGTTTTTAATAACTTGTGAATTGACTGTTTTGGATTTTTTAATCTTCATGGTTAAATATTATTATTATTAATAAATAAAGTATAAAGTATGAAATGAAAAAGAATGAAGTAGAAAAGGACAGGACTGGAAATTGTGATCGGCCGACCCCATCTTAGAGGTGCAGCTGCTCCCTTCCTACTAAACCACTCACATGCTCTTCTAATTTACACTATTTTCAATTTGTCTTCTAAATTAAAAAAAAAAAAAATATATCATATTATATTATGTTGTCAATACTTTTTTATGACCAAAATACCCTCCCAAATTTCACTATTATTGATATCCATATATAAGCCCATTTTAGAATCATTGTGATTTTTGTGTTTCATTTTGTATTTCAATCTAGCAATTCTCCCCGTATCATTGCCAAAAAGAAGAAAATTTAAAATAAATGAAAAGAACAATTATTTGAGTGGATTAGGATTTTGTTAGTCCATTTGTAAATTTGATTTGCTATGAAAATCAAACATGGCTGTTAAATATGAGAGAAAATAAAATTAATTTAAAAAAAATATATAATTATGTCATTAGGGTTTTTTAGGTTATCTCGCGTTTCTTACTTAATTATGCCAGTTGGGTTTTTTAGGTTGTCTGATTTCATTCTTAGGTTGTCTTAGCTAGACACGGCCATGGGCCGGTTTTCGGCCGGGAACGGGCCTGAACCGGTCCCGGAACCGTGAACTGGCCCGTGTACCTCGGGACGGGCCCGGTTCTGGAAATAGGTGAACCGTCGGGTCGGTCCGGCGGTTCACCCAGATTTAAAAAAAATAATAATAATAAAAAGCCGAAAAAAGCTGAACCGGCCCGATGAACCGGTTGTTATTTGCTCTTTTTTGAATCCCCCATTTTTTCCTATAAATACCCTCACATCCCATTTTTTCCTATAAAATTAAGTTCAAGTCCTTTTGTTTATTTTCTATTGTTTTTTTCCTTTTTATATATATATATATATATATACATATATATATATATATATATATATATATATATATATATATATATATATATATATATATAATTTCTTGGCTGGCTCGGATAGGCCCGGAACCGGAATGAACCGACCCGCCGAACCATGTGTAGTACGGGCCGGTTCCGATTCCGGAAAAAGTGAACCGCGAACCCGCCCGCCGGCTCATAGTTGTGTCTAGTCTTAGCATTTCTTACTTTCATATATACTGAGACTACCAAAATTATTTACACATTTTTGTGATTATGTGACATATAGAAGACCAACACTAGCAGAACCCGTATTTGAAGTCAGTATCATATTATTTTTCGTGAGCTAGTTTTAAAGCCTATAATATAAGCCCTTTTTTTTAATTAAAAATATTACTTATTAAAAAAATAATCTTTATAATGATTTGGAGTGGATTATTTGATCAATTAAAAGTAGTCAATTAAAATTTAAAAGAATCTTATAGTGTTGGTCTACGTGGCAGCTCTCATTAAAATGTATATAGACTAGCTACCAGATTTTTCTCCTAGATATAAATATTTTCAGCTCTCTATAATGGAGGAGTAAACAGAGTATTGTGCTATAAAACAATATTAATATTTAGTTGAACTGTTATTTTCATATATATCAATGTTTGAACTAATTTAAATATCTTTCAAATTTTGAAAAAAAAAACCCAACCACTCATATTAAATTTAGGCAGAGTTAATGTGATATCCATGCTGAAAGAAAGGCTAAATGTATATACATTTTAGCATAAAATCTAATTATTTTTTGAATTTTCGAACAATGTTTACGGGTTGTTCGACTAGCTTATTTAAACGATCTTATAAGTTAAAGCGTATTTTAAACATGGAATATTTAAATGTCGTTTCAATTTTATTAAATCGTTTTTTCTTCGAACGTGATTTTGACTATTTTTTAGTTTGATATTAGAAAATCTTAAAACACGGAAATTGTACTTCTTTGAGTTGGCTTTCTAATTCAACTTACAGCAGTAAAATTGAAGGTCAGATGACAAAATTATACATGAATAATTTCATTTTGAATTTTTGATAACTCAAAACATCATATTTATGGACAATGTCCATTAGTTCATGCATATCTTTCTAACCTGACATTTAATCTTAATGATTTAAGCTGAATTAGCAAGCTAACTCAAACAACTACAGATTTTGTTCTTAGGGTTTTGCTAAATTCAAACTCGAAAACGGTCAAAATTATGTTTGAAGTCGAGACGATATTATTTTAATTGAAACAACATCTATTACACCCCTTTGCAAAATGACAGTTAATGAATGTACTAAATTAGGTTAAATGGGGAATTACTGTTGTACTACTTAAAATCTGTTTGGATACAAAATTCAAACACAAGGGTAATTAAGGTAAATTGCAGAAATGGAGGGATATGCATTGAACCAAACATTTAATACTGGTGGATTAAATTATGGAAGACTACATAAATAGTTGGATTTCCTAGCCATATTATTATAATCACCACTACTAATTACTGATTAGTGGGCAAAATGCCAAATAGCAACTAATCAAAAAGTAAAATCTGCATTTCCCAATAAGATACTAATTAATCTCTGCAGTGATTCTCTATTTAATTATTGGGATCCCCCACCCCCTCACCCCCCAGCTGATGTAAAAAGTCCAAAATAACCCTGGTTCAGTAGCCAGAAAGTGGTTGTTCGAGGGGTATTTATGTCTTTTTACCAGACTACCCATTCTTGCTGGTACTTAAAAACTATGTCCTAAAAAGCAACGTCAAAGATAGACACACTACTAAAAACACACACACACACACACAAATACACACACTAATACACACACACAGACACACAGTGAACATGGAAAACATCAACCATATGATGAGTCAAAGGAGCTGTCTTTTTTAGTGAATTTGGCAGCTCTATGTTGTTTCTCCCTCCTCCGGTGCTCATGTGAAGTAAGAGTGAGATCCCTTTATCTAAATTTATTTATTTATTAAATTAAATGAAAAAGAAAAAAGAAAATATAAAAAAATGAAGCATGCATAAGTTCTCTCTCTCTCTCTCTCTCTCTCTCTTTCTCTCTCTCTCTCTGCACATTGTTTCACTTTACTCTGTGTGGGGTGGTCTCTATTGTTTTTCTTTCCTTGTTTTTCGGCAAACCCAAATTTACAACTGCGGCTTCTACATTTTTCATTTCTTGAAAAAAGACTGGATTTTTTTTTCATTCAGACAAAGCATTTGAGGTGAAGAGAAGGAGCAAATGATTGCTTTTACTTGCAATTTATTGGGGGGTTTTCGCCCCTCTCTCTGAGATCTGAAGTGGGGTATGGCCATTTTGTGTAGAAATTTGTTCTTTGGAATACAAATGTGTGTAAAAATGCTGTCTTTTAATGATGTTCTTTATCTTAATTATCTTGTGTGTTAGATTTTTGCTTTGTCTAAGTTCAAATGGGGTATAAAAATTGGATCTTTAATTAATGGGTTCTGTTTAATATTTGTGTAATGCGGAGAAAGTTGGATTCTTTGCTTCATTGTTAATTTTCTGTTTTCTGTTTTTAGTGTTCTTTGAGATGTGGGTTGTGTTTCTTGGATGCATTTATTACATGGGAGTAGTTTGTCTGTTAGGTAGTAATTGCGCATGAGTTGGTACACATAGATATTCTTAGTATGAGTTTTTTCATTATTGCAATGTGGGCTTTTGAAATTCTTGGTAATAGGTAAGCTCTTGATTTGTGAAATTGGTGAGGAAAGTTGGTTCGATTCTCGTTTTGATGTTTGTGGTTTCGTCTTCTTACATAATCTTTAACTTATTTTTGTTTTTCACCAAATCGATTTTCTTGATTTTCGTTCTTGAATCTTGATAGGAGAAGAAATGATCTATCAATGACACAAGAGTGAGTAGTATAAAATGGAATTGGACTTCGACAAATACTGCGTCATAGATGGAAGCCCCACGACCGTCCTCCCAGCCCCTCGTCTTATTTCAAAAGCTCCGTCGAAAAAATCGAATATCGGAACGCAGAAATTCGAGAATGAAAGACTGAGCCTCCACAGGAACTTCTCCGAGATTAGCTTCAACCGCTACCGAAGTGCATCGTGCAAGGACGTTAAGCCGAGAAGATCCAATCAAGAAGTCGATCGCGAATTGCTGAAGAAACGGGGCTCAGTATATCAAAGCTCCCAAGAAGTGAATCTGCGGACTAGGAAAACCGATACTAATGTTGGAAGGAAAAAGATTGAGTTTTCACGAGGTAGTGATTCCAAACTCTCGTTCGGAATAATCGACACGTTATGTAGTTTGGATGAAGACAGTCCATTAGCGGACCGCGACAGGTCCTCGGAAGTGTTGATGTCCGAACTAAGTACGAGTTCGTTTTGCGAGCGATTTGTTCCGAACAAGGCTTCTTCCTCCGACAAAAGGGGAAAAGAATCAAGAAATATCGAGACCACGAATGGTGGCAACAATTTACACAAGTCGTTATCGGCGAAATTAGCTTTGCCACATTCGCCCGTAAGAAAGACGTTAGATCCATCCATTAGATCCAAATCTCACAGAAGCCCGTTGAATACTTACAACAAAACAAGTTCCGAAACAATTACAGACAAGCCACATACTGCGGGATGTAATAACTCTGAAAAGAAAGACAACCTTAATAATTTGGTTCCCCTTTCTTCCCCAGCACACCTCCACGGCCTCCTCAAGGTGGAAAACAAAAATGGGGTCCCGTTTTTCGAGTTTTCAGTGAAGTCTCCAGAAGATTTATTTTACGTTGCAAAGTTATGGAAAGTGGAAAACGCCCTAAATTGGGCGTACACTTTCCACTCGATTCATTCAAGAAGAAAGAGCAATGCTAGTGGTGGATGGGGATTTAAGGACATTATTAAAGAACCTTCTATGATCGGACAAATGCTCGTTTCTTGTTACTTGTGTACGGAACTAAAAAGCGTCGGAGGATCTTGTAAGGATGATTCTATGGTGACGGAGTTTGTTTTGTACGATGTTGCCCATTCTAGAAGAAGCGTTTCATCTCAAGACAATATTCATAGTATTACTACATCCCCCGACAATAGGCATTCGCGCGATAGTGTTCATTTTGAGTTACCTTCGTCTCGGCCTTTATCTGCAGCGGAACTGAATCCCGAGCTAGAAATAGCGGCAATTATCATGCGGGTCCCTTTCGAAAAGAGGGAATCTTTGAAGTTCAAGAGTGGCGATAGAAGAGTGGATAAGGCGAATATTCCCAACTTGATGGATCTTTGTCGGGTCGAGGGTATTTCGGACAATTCACGTCTTGATGGGAAAATGCATGTTGTGATACCGGCGGGGAATCACGGATCGCCGAGTAGTGAAAGTGGGTCCCCTTCACCATTGCTCGATCGGTGGAGATTAGGTGGCGGATGCGACTGTGGGGGGTGGGATATGGCTTGCCCCCTCGATGTTTTTGATAATCCTAGGTTTCGGATTGATAAGGGATGTCCGGTTACGGACAATCAGCAACTCTTTGCGCAGGTAATAATTAATTAATATCTTGTCTGATATATGCACACACCCATATACTTTTTCATCCATGCATACCAAATATATACTGCATGAATTTATTTTTTCCAAAGGCTTCCGATTTCAGAACAATATTTTTCATTCAGAAATCCGAAAGTTCCGATTTTTCCTATATTTTTTGGACCGGAATATGAATATATATTAGAATCCAATTTTCAAAAATTCCGACATTTTTTTTTTAATTCTAGAATTACACTTAAAATATCAATATTACATTTAGTATTTATTATAGATGAGCAAAAAATTGGAATTCCTGAATTCCACCGACTCTGATCTGAAAATTTCTAATTTCGGAACAAGTTCTTAAATCCAATTTCCGATTTTTTCTTGGGACGGAACTGGAATTAGTTTTCCACTTCCAGATTTTTTTCCCGAGTTTTTCCGGAAGGTGCATGATAATTCCGATCTGATCCGTCCAATTTCACTCGTATCTAACGTGTTCGAGAAATACACACATGCAATATTGCTTTTGTTGTGAGAATTATACGCGGAGCCTAATTTGTGCATACGTGTACACACACAGGGGAGAAAAGAAAATATACCGGCATTTGCGATGCGAGCGATCGAGGAAGGAAAAACATACCAAGTGGACTTCCACGCGCAGTTGTCTTCTCTTCAAGCCTTCTCCATCTGTGTAGCTATCCTGCACGCAGCGGAAGCTTCCACCGATGTTGTGGGGCCCGACAGAAGACGAAGCGAACGTGAGTCGATGAAGGTGTTTGCGGAGGAAGAGATCGAGAGTTTGATAGAGAAATGCAAAGCCGACAAGAGTAAAATGGAAGGAGTTGTTTCGCCCTTGTCTTTTGTGACAAATCCGCCGTTTTCTCCGATTGCTCGTGTGTAATGTAATGAATGATCGAACGATGAAAGAAACTTTGTTCTTGGTAGAGATTTCACAGGGGAAATTGAAACCGAACCACGATACTGTTTATATTCTTAGATTTGAATAGAGATTAGGGAGGGAAATAGTTGCCGGTTTTTTCGACTAGTGTTTTTTTTTTTTTTTTTTTTTTCCGATTATAATTTTGGTAATTTAAGGTGGTTAAAAATGGTGAAGGGGTTGTACTTACAGTTGCAGTTTGGTTGTATCTTTAAAATAAATGAAAACAATTACATCTCTGATTTATTTTACCTTTCATATGTGGGTTGGTGGTGTGTGTAACATTATATTGATGAACAATTTACAAAGATGAAAGAACCCAGAGAATAAAAAAAATAAAAAAAATCAGAGATAATTATTTTTAAATAATTAAAAAAAGAAAAAAAAAACAATCGCCGTTGCCGGGGATCGAACCCGGGTCACCCGCGTGACAGGCGGGAATACTTACCACTATACTACAACGACATCGATGATATTTAAATAACATATAATTATATATCATTATTTAACTTGTAAAAGTACAAAAATTGAGTTTCGCCGTTGCCGGGGATCGAACCCGGGTCACCCGCGTGACAGGCGGGAATACTTACCACTATACTACAACAACTTGGATGCTACGTCACTTTTGGTATCGTGTAATAATCCTTACATAAAATAAAGGAATTAAAGAAATATTTATCTAGATTATTGGTTAACATAATTTTGAAGTCAAATAACGAATAACTTTCAAAACTATAAATATCAATTTCAAAGTTTAATAACTTTCAAAACTATAAATATACAATGTGCGAACTTTAGAAAGTAAATCAACTATTAAAATATAACTTTTTAATCACTAAATAGATCTGGGGATGTAAACGAGCCGAACTCGAGTTCGAATCCATTTTGACGAGCTAAAACTTATTGAGCTGAAGCGAGCCGAGCTCGAGCCTGATCCATTTTGTCTCGTTTACTTTTTATTTTTTATTTTGTTTTTTTATTCTTTTATTAATATTATTAGAAATTATAAGATAAAAAATCAAAATAAAAATTAACCTGTGATATATTTTTTGAATTACTTTTATGAATTTATTATTTATTTTATATTAATTATATTTATTAAAAAAAAAAAAAAAAAAAAAAAGGCTGGGGTCACGACTCACGAACAACTAAGAACGAGTTCGGACTCGACTCGTCACAAAGTTCGATTCGAGCTCGATAAAATTAGAGTTTAAGTTCCAGCTTTTACGAAGCAGACTCAACTTACGCACCCCTAAATAAATCCAACGGAAATTGACCAAAATCAGAAAAATTGATCTTCGCCAAAACCCCCAAAAAATGAATTCACCTCACAGAGTATATATTAGCATAAACCTCTCTTCCTAAACCTTTTCTTTTGACGCCAATCAAAATTCAAAATGTTCCAACCCTAAAATTCGTAAGCATTTTTTGATTCCTAATTGGGAAGCGAAGTGATTCTCGTTAAGGTTTTTTCACTCCTAATCATTACCTCTTAATTCATATATGTATCTGCTTCTCTGTTGATTGTTAAATTATTGTTTTCTCTGTATCGGTTGACATTAATTGTACGCATTTTTTCTTAAATGTTTTGAATTGGAGTAGTTTAAATGGCAGTTTTTAATTCTATTACGTAGATATTAAGTTAATGATGATGGTTTATGGATATATTAATCATTGATAATTTAGGGATTGCGAGTTGTTGAGCAGTTGGGTTGTTTCGATTGGAGAGAGTTGAGTGGGATATTGATTGGTTAACTTGTATAGTAGCGTATTTCATTCGAGTTATTTTTGTGTTCGATTTTTCATGCCAACTGTTGAAATGTTTGTCGTGAATGATCCGATTTGTGTTTAGATATAAATGGGAGTATTACATTTGCGTAGGATTGAAGAAACAAAAAATTGTCGAATTTATAAGCTCTCGAGAAAGTTTCAAACGGGCTGGTTTAACTCGAGTTCGTCATTGAAGGTGTAAATCGATCAAGTTTCTCGATATTTTCGCCCATGTTTAATCCATAATATGGTTTGCATTTTGCATTTTATATCAATTAATCTTGTATTTGCATTTACTAACGAAACCGAAAAAATGTTGATAATGCAGTTGCCGCTTTATCCATCTTGCTTTCTTGAAGAAAGTTAAAAATGACGGGGGATAGTGTATCCCCTAGAAACGAGAAGATTTCAGTCGGACATAGAAACAATCTGTTTAAGGGGGCAGTCTTCGAGCTTAAAGATTTTGATTACACAGATAGCAAACCCTCGGGAAATGACAAGTGTACCCTCAGGAATTCCGATCCCCAATCTTCTGAGGTATTAAGCACGAGCGACTTAATATCTGCAGTAGGCTATGCATGGGATTGTGCGAAAAAGCCTCTTTCTGTTCTTCTGCCTAAAACGAATTCCGCATCCAAAACCGATGTTATTGAAGGAGGTGGTAGACTTCAGTATATTACGGATGAAGGAACTTTTCGTGAAGCTAATTCAGCTAATGATCAACCTTTCTCTATCTATTTGAATAGTAAAGAAAATTCTGCTAAGCTAGTGAATGAAAATCGAGAGTTATCTTGTCGTCAACCTAGTTATGAATTTTTTTCTTTCTGGAGAATAGTCCTCGCAAGGTCCACAGTGATTGAGGGGTGCTCTGTAGATAATTGTCTTTCGAGTACAGGAATACTAGCTAATTTGGGAAGCATATATGGATGTACAAGTGAAATAGCTCTTGCTAAGCGAAAAAACGAGGCGAGTTCTGCGAAAATTGAAATAAAAAAAACAAGCAATTGTTACATCGATGATTGCTCGACTAGTACATGTAACAGCTTCACTGGAGTAATATCTGCTTCTAAGTCTGAAGTCGAAGAACCCTTAAATCGTCTTTCTACTACTAGATGCTCGGAAAATGATATTTTGCATGTCCCACATACAGAAGATGTTTCCAATTTACCATTACTTAGTCACGGTTCCGAAAATAGTGTAAATGAAAGTAGAAACAGTTTGCACGAGCACCGCGAAGGGATAAAATTAGAGAAATCGGAATCCGAGGTAAAATTTAGCTTGTCCGAAAAGGAAAAGCCTCAATATGCATTTGCAAAGCAAGAACATGCCGAGGTAAAATTTAGCTTGTCCGAAAAGGAAAAGCCTCAATATGCATTTGCAAAGCAAGAACATGCGTTTGCTGGAGCTATGGCCGGGATATTTGTCAGCCTCTGTCTTCATCCAATGGACACAATTAAGACGGTTATTCAATCGTGCCCTGCTGATCAGAAGGCTCTACACACCATTGGCAGATCTATTATCACCGAGAGAGGTATATTGCTAACAAAAGTTTTACTTCATAAATGTAGAGCAATTAAACTGATATTTTTTGGTGAAGTACTATAAAATAATATTGAAGTTCATTCTCAGGTGTTTCGGGACTTTATCGTGGCATTTCCAGCAATATTTTGAGTTCGGCTCCGATATCTGCGGTCTACACATTCACATATGAATCGGTCAAGAAAAGTTTGCTTCCAATGCTTCCCAAGGTAATGTTTATCTTTTTATAAAAGGAAAAAAAGAAAACATACGTAGTGTTTTTTAATTTATTTAATTAATATGTTTTGTCTCCTTTCTTTAAACAGGAGTATCACTCTTTGGCGCATTGTGCAGCTGGGGGTTGTGCAAGTATTGCCACATCATTTATTTTTACTCCGAGCGAGCGCATAAAACAGCAGATGCAAGTTGGCTCACACTACCGAAACTGCTGGTATACATTTCAGATGGTGTATTTCTTTTTTCTATAGTTCAATATCCAGTTCATTATTCAAATACTATATTGTGTATATCCTTCTTTTTCTTTTGATTAATTTTTTGTTTCTGCAGTATTTTCTTTTAATCGTCTCTGAATTATATTTTCATTAAGGTTTTACTTAGTTTTGTTATATGTCAGTCAAATTTGAAAATTAATTTACCAGCTGTTCTACTTCTACATGCAGGAATGCATTGATACAAGTTGTTAAAAACGGGGGCTTGCCTTCACTCTATACCGGATGGGCAGCTGTACTCTGCAGAAATGTTCCACATTCTATCATCAAGGTAAAGTTAGAAATTTGGCACTTCATCATTATTTGTTAATTATTTATTTTTATACTTATGAAAGCCTGAAATAAATGATGTTTTCATTTTTCCATTTTTTGGTCCTTCATTATTCCTTATGCAGTTTTACACTTACGAAAGGCTGAAACAGATGATGTTGCCATCAAACCAATCAAACGCTGAGGCTAATATAGTTCAAACGGTTCGTTTCTACGCTTCTGTATACCTTCTGACCACTATTCTTCCCACATTTCTCTCATCGCTTTTCCCGTTTTTCGCAGTTAGTTTGTGGAGGATTAGCTGGTTCTACGGCATCATTATTTACGACTCCATTTGATGTTGTGAAGACGCGATTGCAAACTCAGGCACATTTTTCGCATTTGCTTTTTTTTTTTTAATTATTAATTTTTTTTTGCTCCGTCTCACTAATTATTGTTCTTCATCTTTATTTTTAGAGCATTTATTAGAATTTCACTTAGTGAAAACGACCTGAGAAAACCGTAAATTGCAGATTCCTGGATCTACAGCCCAATATAATGGTGTTTACAATACCCTAACAGAAATCGGCAAACGTGAAGGTTTAAAAGGCCTCTACAGGTTAGTTAGCAAAGTGCATAATATGTAGATAAAGTAAGCAAATTTCCGGCACGAAGACAGATTACTTAACATCATTGTTTGATTAGTCTAATCCCGAAAGCCTGTTATGATAAATCAAATATTCAAATAGTTTGTCGGTGCTAAATGTGGATCCATTTTATTGAAAGCTTTTCGATTTTTTAAACTCAATCATTTCCATTTTCCAGATACTGATGAGCATTCATTCTGTTAATTTATTCAAGAACCGTATTTTGAAGGCCGTTAATATATGTTGTTGTTATTATATTATATTGTATTAGGGGATTGACTCCAAGACTAGTGATGTATATGATCCAAGGAGCACTGTTCTTCGCATCGTATGAATCTTTCAAGAGGTTGCTCTCGTTAGAGGTTTCGAAGTCGACATTTCATCATGTACATAAGGAAGATAACTCAACGGTCTTAAATTCAACCGTACCAGTGGCTGCATAATATCACCCTTGAGATGAAAAAGTCGAAAAAATGTTCCGACAAAGTTTTGGTACGAAGAAATACGAGAGAGACGCTGCTGAAGCGGTTTTGAATTTTTCGAGAGAGAGATATGAAAGAGATCCAAGCGCATCACATCACATTTTGCGATGATCAGATATATAAACCATATCGATTTTTTGGGGCAGGAGTTCCTTCGAATTATATTGGTCACAATTTTGCTAGAAAGGGTTTGTTGTTGTGCTTGTAATTTCTGATGAGTGTAAGATGTTAATTAGAATGTGATGTTTTCTGCAATTTGTTTGGATTTGCAGAGGACAGTGACATAATTGTGCCGATTATCGTGTACAGTTGACTTTTGGTTGACTATTCGAAAAAATGTTAAACTAAGGGATAATTACATTTTTGGTCCCCCAAGTTTGCCCGTTTTTTCGTTTTGGTCCCCCATTTACCGCAGTCAACAAAATACACTCTCGTTTTATCAAAATTTAACACATTTGGTCCTGCCGTTTGGTTGACCGTCTGACTTAACAGTTAACCGTCATGTGCCACGCACGTGACTTCAAATTAGGGCTTAATTTGCGTTTTTTCCCCCAAAATCAACATTTCTCTCTCTCTTCACGCTCTCTCTCTCTCTCTCAAATTGAGGATTTTTCCAAGAACCCTAATTTTTGGAAGAAATTCCAATTTCAACAATTCAAACACCAAATCACGAAATTCTCTCTCCCCCTCTTGAAAATATGAGTAGTCGATCGACCACATCAAATCGAAAACAGCAAACTGGCAGTGATTCTGAAGCTCTAATCGTTTATAGCAATGCAAACGGCATATGATTGAAGCACCAAGAAATCACTGGGCCGACTGTGGAGCGAGATCTATCCCTATTAGCCAATG